CCCATCCATAGGCCTCAAAGCAGCAAGACAAATTCACAAAATAAAACAAGCCGGGAGGCCTGCCCTGGAGTACATGCGAGAGTTCCGCAAGTTAGCAGGCCGAACAGAGGGGTGGTCCGAACAATCCCTGGTTCAATACTTTGTTGAGGGATTGGACGATCACCTCTCTCAGGCTTGCATCTACCGAGAAGTACCCGATTGGCTACAGGAGTGGTACCAGATAGCAGTGAAGCTAGACGTTAAGCTCTCTCGCTATAAGAAGCCTCCCCCACGCAAACCCGAGCAGCAACCAGAGCTACCCGGACAGCAATCACCCCCACGACAGCCCTCAACTACGGCAATGGCTGAGAGACCCAAGCCACCTACACGCCCTTCCTTTAAGTGTTTCCGGTGTGGACAAGAAGGACATCGAGCGGCCACCTGTCCAATCCCCTACCCCCGACGGCAGAGCAGACCAGAACCAGCAATGCGAAAGAAACCTGCTCAGCGACTGAGAGAAAAATCTAACCGGCTCACGCAGGAACCTGTCGCCCAGATTACACCCCCCACACAGGAGGACGCTGGGACTCCGATTGGACCCGCCCCTGCTCTACCCTCCTTTGACAGCGACAATGAAGGAGAGAACGACCCAATGGTGAGTCAACAAATCCCGCCTTTTTCACTGGCCGCCAAGCTTATAATCCCTAAGTCTGGGGCACAAATGGACTTAAATGTGCTAATTGATACTGGATGCACCCGCTGCATTATTAGTCAGCAGTTTGCAATGAGAATGGGCATACGGGCAAAACAGCTTTCCAAACCGGTGAGGTTTGAGCAAGCCGATGGCTCCCTGATGGGAGGGACTCTTGTCACACAATTAACTGAGCCCTTATGCCTGGAAATAGGTGCACACTGGGAATTTATTCGTTTCCTGGTGGCTCCAAAAATGACTGAGACAGTGATCCTAGGGTTAGCCTGGTTAGATAAATGGAAACCATTCATCTGGTGGGAGAAAGGAATGAGAACCATGAGACTACCAATAGGGCCTAATCCCCCTCTTGAGTCAACGGATGTTGCAGGGCACCTTAGACCACCCAATGAGTGAGCGCACATGGCCGCCTCACCGACTCCACGCGAACCAGTCATCCCCCATGAATACCGGGACCTGGCGGAGGTTTTTAGTGAAAAAGAATGTGATGCCCTACCCCCTCACAGACCCAATGACTGCTCCATCGAACTGGTGCCAGGAGCCAAACTCCCACGACCGAGAATGTATGCTATGTCCCCCCTCGAAATGGAGGAGATGCAGCGATACGTGAACAAAAACCTAGCAAGGGGGTTCATTGAACGGGCCAAATCCACCGTGGGAGCCCCTGTGTTGTTCAAAGAAAAAAAAGATGGGTGTCTTCGTCTCTGCGTGGACTATAAAGGTCTCAATGCTGTAAGTGTGGAGAACAAATACCCACTCACCCTCCTAAAGGACTTATTAACCCATCTGGCTAAGGGGAGTGTCTTCACTAAATTAGACCTGAGAGAGGCATATTACCGGGTGAGGATAAAAGAAGGAGACGAGTGGAAAACTGCCTTCAACTGTCCTATGGGGAGCTATCAGTTCAAAGTCATGCCATTTGGCCTACAGGGGGCCCCAGCTGTATTTATGCAGTTGATGAATGAGGTCCTACATGACCACTTGTACAAAGGGGTTTTGGTGTATCTCGATGATATCCTGATATACAGCACGAATATGACTGATCACATAAAGCTGGTGAGAGAAGTGTTAAAGAAACTATTGAATGCCAAGCTTTATGCCAAATTGTCGAAATGTGAATTTCACCAAACCCAATTAGACTACCTTGGCTACAGAATTTCCAACGAGGGTATTGAAATGGATCCAGCCAAGGTGAAAGCTATAATCAAATGTCAGCCCCCAAAGACTCACAAACAGCTCCAGAGCTTTCTGGGTTTTGCCAACTTTTATCGTCAATTCATCCCCTCTTTTACCGAGATTGCCCTACCCCTTACAGAACTACTCAAAACAGGCAAAGGAGGAGGGAAGCCACGACCGGGCCAACCACTAGCATGGACAATGGACTGTCAAACAGCTTTTGAAAATTTAAAGAGACTATTTGCTGCTGAACAGGTCCTAAAGCACCCCTGCCCAGGGGAACCCTTTGTGATTCAAGCCGACGCCAGCGATGTGGCAGTTGGAGCTGTGTTACTGCAAAAGAACAAAAATGGGATCCTGCAACCCTGCGCTTACACCTCTAAGAAATTTACTGAGAGCGAGCGGAGATGGGCAATCTGGGAGAAAGAGGCCTTCGCGATTAGATGGGCACTATTAAACTGGCGACACTATCTGGAGGGGAGCAAGGTGCCATTTGAGGTATGGACAGATCACAAAAATTTAGAAGCACTGAAAACTCCCCGCAAATTGTCCCCAAAGCAAGTGCGGTGGG